ACAGTATCTTGTCCTTTTTCCCTGTCTTTTGTTGTCCCTATAGAATAAAGTTCAAGGCATATAACAAACAATAAATATATAGTAATTGGACAGTCTATGTCTGTGAATTTTGGTAAATGTATGGGTAGACTAAAATGGGCAGGGGATCTATTTTCTGAAACAGTTGATAAAGTGCCCATCTAGTTTACATTCTGGCATCACACACACACAGGGCTAGTAAGACAGAAGTAAAGGCAGCTAGGTGGCACAGTGGAGAGAGCACCGGCTCTGAAGTGAGGAAGACCTGAGTTCAAATCCAGCCTCAGACCAAACACTTGACACTTACCAGCTGTGTGACCCTGGGCAAGTCACTTAGCCCCAATTGCCTAAAAATTTTTAAAAAAGAGAGAGAAGCAGTATAGTATGGTAGAAAGAGCACTGGGTTTAGAGACAGAAGTCCTGAGTTCAAATCTCTATCCTATTCTTGAATAACTGTGATTTAGAAAAATCACTTACCCCTTCTGGACTTCTGTTTCTTTATCCATAAAAGGAGCAGATTGGGTTAGATTGTTCCTAAATTCTCTTCTAATTCTAAATCCTATCAATCATAGCCTTGCTATAACTGCTGTTTTCAGTGTCCATGACCTGAGATTCTTTACAATTGGACCTTTTGTTGTTCAGTGGTGTCCAACTCTTCATGACCCCCATTTGGAATTTTCTTAGGAAAGTTACTAGAGTAGTTTTGCTATTTCCTTCTCCAGCTCATTTTTACAGATGAGGAAACTGAGGCAAACATGGTTAAGTAACTTGCCCAAGGTCACACAGCTAGTAAGTATCTGTGCCAGATTTGAACTCAGGAAAATGAGTCTTCCTGACTCCAGGCCCAATGCATTATGGCGCCACCCCGCGGCCCCGCAGCTGATCCTATCAAAGTCTTGATATTTCAGTAGCCTAAATGCCCTCAATCAAGCAATGAATGAATGAAGGATGAATTGATTAATTAATTTTAAAAGCATTTATATTCTAGTAATTCTGATAAAGATTAGAGTTACAAATATAAAAAAAAACTTACATCATACTGGGGAGACAGTGCATTTAGTGGAGTTGTGGCCAAGGAAAAGGGAATTTGGTCTGGAGTCACAAGGAATGGTCCACAGAGCAGCCAGTTGACATGATCCTTTCAGAAGCAATGGTGACATTGATCTTATTACTATGCCCAGAGCAAGAGGTGTAAAGGGGGAGGAGACCTAAGTCAAGATGAGATTCAATAAAGGATCCACTCCAAATTCTGATTTATGAGCAAATAGTATTTTAAGACCATTTCTAAATACTGCACTAGCTTCTAGTTTGTTCAGATACAGGCTTTAAGTACATCATAGGACAGAGCATTCATTCACTGATTTTAATAGAAAATGTCTATTTCAAGTGCAGTGGTATTTGAGTGGCAAGCTCCTAAAACTCTTCACATGCAAGCTTAGAGATTGTCAGAAATGTTTAGTGAGTTGCTGGGCCACGGTTAGGCTAGACTATAGTCCTTTGGGGGATGGCTGTCAGCTTCATACAGTTGTATCCTGAGATGCTTTGGCTCTTGTCAAACAGGGTGTGAGAGGAAAGCTGGAGATTGTGCTTTGACTAAGAGCTAATAGGAAGAGAGCACCTGGAAGTCTTTGGAAGGGCTTACCACATCACTGCTTTCATTCGACGTTTCTGCTTTATTTCATGTGTTTATTTTAAAATTGGTGTTTTAGAGTACGCCCAACAGAATTCTGAGTGATTCGTAGCAAAGATGTGTGCTGAAAGAACCATCTGGATCCACCCAGCACCTAGGAAAACCTACCCTTTGGGGAAGCTGGCTAGCCCACTAATTATGCCATAGGGACCCACCAACCACATATCCTACAGGGTAGGGTGACTTGGATCCTTCTATCTTATTAATTGGAGATTATTCAGTAAAGTGACAAAGAAAGAAACAGTTCCTGATTCCCTCAGCTACTCCATCTTGTAGGTACCTAGCTATTTACATGGTGCCTACTCCCATTAGAATGTAACCTCTTTTAGGGCAGGGACTGTTTTTCCTTTCTTTGTATCTTTAGAACTTGGCACAATGCCTGGCACATAGTACATGCAGAATAATTGCTTATTGACTGACTGAGTGTCAACTGAAATAAGCTATAAGAGGGAAATCCAGTCTGCCAGAGTATACCAGTTGTATCAACTAGAATAGGAATACATAGTATAGTAGTAGAAAGAACACTGGGTCTGAAGTCAGAAGTTTTGAGTTCCAAGCTTGCCTCTGATGCTCATTACCTATATGAACCTGAATGAATGAATGAGTGAACGAAAAAAAATATATTAAGCCCTTATGTTCCAAGCACTGTGCTAAGTAGTAGAGGTAAAATTAGAAAAGTAAGGCAGTCCCTGCTCTCAAGAACCTTACTTTTTAATATAGGGAGACAAGAAACATAAGAGGATTTAGCTGTAAGCCAGATGGAAAGGTCCCATGGTCCTTAGGGTGCAACAGGAAAGCAGATGGCAATGCGTTTTTCAAAATGTCATTCCACTGATAAAATTCTAAATGTTTTTGGTGTTGAGCCACTTGATAGTGCCAAGGTCTTTGGTGGTAAGAATTTGCTTTTCTGGGTCTTTAGTAGCTGTGGTTACTGAAGAAGTGAGGGCTGTAACACCAGCAGGCACCTGGCCACATTTCCACAAGGGTTGCTCCCCTAGACAATGGCTGTGGGGACCAGGCTAGAAGCCAGACTGGTCATCTAGGGGATGCTGCTATTCCTGGAGATCTGGGATTCAGTGTTGTGGGCTATCTCCACTTGGCACTGAGGAAAGATGGTGGTCAAGGTCATGGTGGTTTGACATGGCTGGCACGCACCACCTCTCGTCGCTCTCTCTGGATTCCCTGCTACTTCAGCTAGGCTGGCTTACCCGCCCACTTGATGGCAATTAGTCAGCAGCTGATGTTGGTTCAAGTTGCTTAACCTAACTCCATCAGCTTCTCTTTTCTCAAATGTCAAACAAGAGGGATGGAATAGCTGTCCTCCAAGCTGACCTCCAACCCATAAACTTTCGCTATCACTTGAGGGATCTTGAACAACATTGCTGCCTGAGTCCTAGGCTATACATCCGTCCTGTAGATATTCAGAAGACTTGGTTCAGGCCTGTGTTAGGGCTACCCAATCTGGTCTAGTTTGTTTGGGGTTGGATACTATCCCACCCCATTGTACAATAGAAAGAACACTGAATTTGGACTCAGAAGACCTGAATTCAAATCGGCCAAGCCAACAGAGGAACCACATCCCCTGATAGTATTAACCATTAGTCTTTGCAACTTTCAGCTTCCCCTCTGCCTTGAATGTGTTGATGTCTAGGGATCAAAAACAGGACATGATTTATAGACAGTCTCGCAAGTAGTATGCTTTGATGTTTTTTTCCTTGCCCTTTTGTGGTTCATTGTGATAAGGGGCTTGAAAACACGCCTTTCCTTGATGTCCAGAAGGGGAATTTGGTATTTTTGATTTAAAGTTTTAACTAGTTCAATCAGTACAAAGTTTGATTCTTCCATAGTGCAGCAAGATGAACATGAGCACAGAGAACCTTGCCTTTTCTGGGGCAAGTTCAATTTGCCAGTATCCAAAAGTAGATTTAAGCTCTCAAAATCATTGTTCTTATGAGACTCATCCTAATAATCACCTGAATTTGCATAGTAATATAAAGCTTAAAAAGCATTTTAATTTTACTAATGCACAGCTAAGATCACAACATTACTCTGCTCCAAAACCTGCAGTGGTTTCCCATTATATATAGAATAAAATGTAAAGTAGTTATTCTGGCATTCAAGGCCTTACACAATCTGACTTCAATCTGCTTCTTCAGCTTCATTATTTCCCTTCATGTTACTCTAGTTTTCAGTTAAAACTGAACTACTAAACATCTCCTGTTCTTACCTTGCCTCCTCCTGTCCTTATCTAGCATGGGGATGATCTGAATGCTTAGAATGGACTTTGATTCTTGTCCACAACTGGTAAAATTTCTCCCTTCAAGAAATCATTTCATGGGGACAGCTAGGTGGTGCAGTGGATAGAGTACCAGCCCTGAAGTCAGGAGAACCTGAGTTCAAATCTGGCCTCAGACAAAACACTTGACACTTGCTAGCTGTGTGACCCTGAGCAAGTCACTTAACCCCAATTGCCTAAAACTTAAAAAGAAAGAAAGAAAGAAAGAAAGAAAGAAAGAAAGAAAGAAAGAAAGAAAGAAAGAAAGAAAGAAAGAAATCATTTCATGGTCTCCTCCTCCCTAAAGACGTCTCAATCCTCACAGCCAGAGGTGATTTTTCTCTCTTCAGGTTTCCCCTGGTACTTGGATTTCTCGTTTGCTCTTTGGACATTCTGCCTCTCTACTTGATATTCAGCATATCCCCAGTCCTCTCATTAGATTGTAAACTTTTTGAGAGCAGAGACCGTTTCCTCTTCATGCTTAGCACAATGCCTTGTACATGGTACCTGCTTAATAAATTCTTGATGCTGAATTAAATTATCTTATTAGGTCCTTGCAATATAAAGTGTAAACTCCTTGAAGGCAGGGATTATTTTTAATTTTGTCTTTGTATCCCTAACACTTAATACAGTGTAGGTAGTTAATAAATGCTTACTAAAACAGATGGATTATGGTGGATGGTGTTAGGCAGTATGTCTCACTGTGCAGGTGAGGAAAGGGAGACCAAAGACCTTAATTATGGAATAAATGGTGGTGGTTGTTCATCCTTTGTTGAAGAGGACCAATGACATCTTGGGCATGATGTTTTAACTTGCCCATGAGTTGGATCTGAGTTAAAAGAACAGCTCTAACGCAGATCTTCTAAGTCCCACATACAGCACTTTCTACTCTCCCATAATATGTCTTTGTCAGTTACAAACTCCAGGAATTATGTCACTTAAATACAAGAGAGTTGCTCTATTATTGAATGAGGGCCGTTTATTTCTAAATCTTGTTTTCTCCTCTGTTTTCTTTAGACTCCTAAGGACGCAGTCCCTAGAATGGTACTACAATAACGTGAAAAGCCGCTTCAAACGTTTTGGCAGTGCCAAGGTCCTGAAGAACTTGTACAAAAAGCACAGGCTGGAGAGTGGAGCTTGCTTTGACATAATAGGTATTGGGCCCTGCTCCAGGGATGGTTAATAGTCTGATGAAGGGCAAATGACATCAGTGTGAATGAGTTTAAGATATAAGTGATGGGGGATGGGTTAGGTGGAAGCCAGTTGTATGGAAGCAGTGCAAATACATTTGGACATCCCTGCTTGACTACAAGGTTAAAAATGCAGAATCAGGGAGAGGCAAGGGCAGTGAATAGGAGTCTTCAATCTAGTTATAAGTTGAGTTTTCATAGTATTGCCTTTGGGATATCGTTAAGTTTTAGAATTACAGAGTCTTAGAGTTAGAAGAGATTTCAAAGGTCATCTAGTTCAACCTGACCTGAGCCAAAAAATCCCATTTATGATGTTACCAATGGATGCTTGTATAGCAATCATTCAAAGGCCTCCAGTGATGAGAAACCAACTATCTCCCAATACTTTTGGACAACTCTTGTTGTTAGGAAGTTTTTCCTTTAATCCAAAATCTGCTTCCCTAAGACCCCTTTGGTCTTGATTCTGTTCTCTGAGGCCAAGAAGAACAAATCTAATCTTCTTCCACCCAATAAGCCTTTCAAATACTGAAGACAGCTATCATTTCTCCTATCACATCCATGCACATCATCAGTACCACCACCAAGATCACCACCATATTCTAGTCTCTTTTCTAGTCTAAATACCACAAGTTTTGTCAACTGATGTTCATGTATCATTATCTCTAGTCCTCTAGTTATCCCTTTCTGGACATGGTCTATTTTTTACATGCCTTTCCTAAAACATGGCACCCTGGACTGGACATAATACTCCATATGTCACCAGAGTAGAACAGGTAGCATTTATATAGTATTTTAAGGTTTACAACACTAGACCATCAACAACCTGATTCTTAACATTGTGCCTTGATGAATGTAGCCTAAAACTACTTTAGCTGGTTAGGATGTTACATCATATGTTAAACCTGCAAATTTTATGGGTAAAGAAAGAAACCAATTTAACAAAGGGTCAAAACTCAATCTCCTATGATAAAATGGTTTTGGGTTAGAATTGAACTTAAAAGACCTTTTACTTCTAGCCTACAAGCCTGTTCAAACTCCCCTAGATTCACTTGCCTATTATGCTTAGATACAGATAAACAGGGAAGAGTGCACTTACTCTAACATTTTGGATTCAAATTCCATCTCTCCAAGTTCCCATTTCTTTGACATTAGGTGAATCTCTTAACCTCACTGAACTTTAGTTTCTTTATCTGAAAGATGAAAGAGTTGGACTAGATGGCCTTATACATTCTTTCTAGCTATAAGTCAATGATCCCATCATTTTATGACCTTTTGATCTTGTCTTCTCTATACAGTTAAACCCAACTCATTAATCCAAAGGACTGTAGTATTAAGTATTAAGGATCTCTTATGAACCCCATCCAATCAACAAATATTCCTTGGGCTTCATATTTTTAGATTAACCATATAAACTAATACATTTTTGCTAGTTGATAAAATTAATTTTTGTATTCTTGCCATGGCAACAAACACACCTCATTAATTGTTCTCTTCTAAATTCAGGTGTGGGTTTATTTCTCCCTGCACATTGTGGGCAGGATAGATTCCATTTTAATTCCAGATCCCTGTAGGATATTGTTAAGTATCCCCTGAGGTCAACTTAAGCATCACTTTCTATGAGGACTTGTCTGATCTCCCCACCTGCTATTGGCTTCCCCTGCAAAATGGCCTCCTGTTTTTTGACATAGTTTTGTATGTACTTATATATGCACATGTCATCCCCTGCAATAGAATGTAGTAAGAACCTCAAGGACAGGGATTGTTTCTTTTTCATCTTTGCACCCCTGGGACCCTAACACAGTTGCTGGCACATTGTAGATACTTAAAAAGAGTTTTTAATTGATTGCTCACTTTGCTGGTTAGGGGGATAAGCCTTCCCCATGGAGTACCAATGGATCCAGATTTGGTCTAGATGGGGAGAACACTTATTGGTTTCCAACAATTAGGTTTTAAGGGAGAATTTTGCTGCAGTAGTATTTATGTAATTCTGGCAAACAAGTTAATTGGAATTAGAAAGTGCTTCAGTCTAATAGTTGTTCAGTCACAAATGACTCTTTGTGACCCCATTTGGGGTTTCCTTGGAAAAGATACAAAAGTGGTTTGCCATTTCTTTCTCCCAGCTCATTTTACAGATGAAGAAACTGAAGCAAGCAGGGTGAAGTGATTTACCCAGGATCACCCAGCTAGTAAGTGTCTGAGGCCAAATTTGAACTCAGGAAGTTGAATCGTCCTGTTTCCAGGCCCAGCTCTCTATCCACTGTGCCACCTGGCTGCCCCTCCCTGACATAATATTTATATAGTACGTTAAGATTTGCAAGGTGTTTTATATGCATTTTCTAATTTGATCCTTGCAAAAACCCTTAGGGATGTGTGGATTATTATCCCCATTTTGCAGATGAGGAAACAGAGGCCAGGAGTGGTTAAGTGACTTGTCTGGATTTGAACTCGGGTCTATCTTGACTCCAGATCCAGCACTCTATCCCTTGTGCCATCTAGGTTATGAAAACTAAGGGAAAACATGTTAGAGCAGTTAGAAGAGAATAATGAACACAAAGAATGTTAGTTCAGTCCAAAGCCGTACTGTCTTCACCACTCTGCTCGCACAAGGGAATAGTTTTGATTAGCAAATGATGCTGAAGAAGAAATATCACCCATCTCATTTTCAGCCTTTTTACTGTCATCATCTCACATTGTTGGGGTTTTCAACGCTCTCTTCAGTTCTGTCTCATCTAAAAATAATATACCCATTTAGGCAAGCGAGGAACAGGAAGGAACTTTTTAACTCATGTGGACTTGCAGACCGGGTGTCACAAATATAGACTCACAAGCCACATGGGAATCTTGTAGCCAAGGGAGAAAAGTGCCCCTGCTTTTTTATCTTCTTCCTTACTGATGTTCCTGAAATGTTCCTTAAGAACAGGAGCTAAGAAGAGAATAGGATCCTAGGCACTGAGGACTTAGAGCTAGAAGGGGCTTTCATGGTTAGCTGGTCCAAAGCCCTTGTTTTATTTACCTCAATGTCCAGAGTCACTAAATATCTCATCCAAAATCACCAGTGTTCGTGCCCTCAGACTCCCAATCCAAGGTTCTTTCCACTGAGCCATCCTGCCTCTGTTACTTAAGCATTTTTGAAATGGAGACCGGAGCTGTGATTTCATTAGAATAGGGAGGTCCTGGAGAAGAAACTCCCTCCACCACATTCAAATTAGCTTCTGCCCTTCAACTTAGAGACTTAGCGAGTTGCCCTGGGAACTGAGATGTGATAGGATTTTGCCCTGGTCAAATCCACTGTGACTTGTACCTGACTCAGAGGCCTGCTTTCTATCCACATTGCTGCCTCTAGGCATTGCCATCCCCTTTGAAACCAAACTCTATTTCTATTCCTATGAGGATGACCATGGTATCTGTAACATGCGTCGTCTAATTATAAATGGAACTATTAGGTAATGTGACTAGTTCTTCAAGCTGCATACAATTAGTCTCTTCGCTTTATATTCCTCCCGTGCCATCTCATCACACTGTGTACATCATGCACTTTCCTACTCTGCTTTGTATTCTGTGTATATATTTGTACCTGTCTTAGCACCCCATTTATTTCCCTCCTCCATCCTTCTTCTCTCTCCCCTTTTCCTCACTGTGCCTCTCCCTCTGTCTCCCTCCCCTTCTCCTCTCCTCATTCTTTCTCTCTCTCTCATTGTGACAGGCCAGAGGGTACGAAGACAAAATAAAGGCATTCCCTGTATCAAGAATTTTGTATTCCATCAAAACTCAGAGGAAAAGAGCCAGCTAGGTGGTACAGTGGATAGGGCTCCAGCCTTGGAATCAGGAAGACCTGAGTTCAAATATGACTTCAGATACCTGACAATTACTGGCTGTGTAACCCTAGGCAAGTCACTTAACCCTGATTTGGCCTGATGGCCAAAAAGCCGGAAAAAAAACCCAGAGAGAAATAGGAAAGACAGGCAGAGAGCACATTAAGATATGCTTAATCCCTGTCACCTGATTTCAATTTGGCAAAATCCAATCTTATTCAGGACAAATGTTCAACTTCTTGGTCCTTTCAAATTCTGCTTCTTTGTGTTAATATAGAGCGTCCCAAAAGTCTTAGAGCAAGTGAATAAGCCTAAAGCCGTTAAGGCTTACTGCTTTACTGATTTTCCTGAAATGCTCCTGAAGAACCAGAGCTAAGAAGAAAATAGGACCATAGACCCTTAGGACCGAGAGGTTGAAGGGACTTTCAAGATTATCCTGTCATTACCCCCTCATTTCCCCTGAGGTCCCAAGGTGTTAAGCCCATATAGTAATGTTATTGATGAAAGCTCCCAAATTAAAACCAAAGAATAGCTTAAGGATTATCTGGTTCAGACAGATCTGCCATCCAGCTATTCTTTGCATTTAAACCAGCTATTAAAATGAAATCTCATTTGCATGTCATATCTAGGCAGGTGTTCATGTTCAGCCATGTGAGTCACGTCCAACTCTTCATGACCCCATTTGGAGCTTTCTTGGCAGATACTGGAGTGGTTTGCCATTTCCTTCTCCAGCTCATTTTACAGATGAAGAAACTAAGGCAAACAGGGGGAAGTGACTTGCTCAGGGTCACACAGCTAGTAAGAGTCAGAGGCCAGATTTGAATCCAACTCTTCTGATTCCAGGTCCAGTGCTCTATCTATCCACTGTGCCACCTAACCTATACAGACCCAATGGTAATTAAATGGCTTCCCTAAATCAATGCCTCAAATTATTTTCTTCCTCAAAAGGAAATCAAATACACTGTGATTCACCTTTCTCCTCTGTTTCTATCTTTTCCCTTAGAGCCTCTAGGCTGGATGTGTTAGGGGTGGTGAGGAGAAACTCTTGACACTGCATATGGAATGTTTGGGCTTGCTTAGTCTAGCAATATGAAGAACAGGAGAAAGAGCTGGGGGTGCCATGGCATTGAGGAGTGTGGAAGAAGCCAGTGC